CACCCACCCCTGTTTTTGATCCCATTCCCCACTCCACCCCCACAACATGTCTCTGGTATATGGCTGTTCATTATTCTTATTATTTTCTCTCCTGGTCCATTATACTCCTGCTATGAGCGAAACCATCCAGTATTTTCTTTTTTTTCTGGCTTATCTCACTAAGCATGATCTTTTCCAGGCTGGGAACTTTTAATTTAAGACACAAATCAATCATACCAGACAGATAAATGATAATTTTAATATAACAATGGTGGGTTTGCTACCATGACTATATCTGAGGGAGAAAATCCTATACTTTGAAAACACTAACTAGAATGTAAACAGGTGGTACTTCACCTTTAATAAAAGAAGGGGAGGAAAAATGCTTAGAGAAAGGTGGGGGAAGCACCTGTGAATTCACCAAAAAAACCCAAACCAAACAAACAAAACAAACTCACTTATTTGCCATTGGGAGAAGTAAAGGAAAAAGGAAAATGAGACATAGACACAAACAGGTTCCAGCCCTAATTTCAGCAACTGCATTTAGGAACCAGAATGAGACGAACAGCCACATCAGCTATCTCTAGAGAACAATGTACAATAAACAGAGATGTTAAAATTCTAAAAATCAGTGGTACAGAATGGAATTTGACAATTCACTGGAAGTATATTACCCCGTGATATAGTAGTACTCTTTCTGGTGAGCTTGGACCAATGAAATTGGTACAAACCTACTTATTTCAAGTACTAAAAGACATTCAATTTCCTATGGCTGATGTTTAAAAATTAGAACTTAAAGGACTGACTTAATATGATTTTTCACAAACTCGAGTCAGCAGTTGTTATTATTTTGAGTAAAACACCTGAGTTGGTACCTTTATAATCACAAAGAAAAAACAGTCCATGGACAGCCAGCCTCAGTGTTAATATTTAGTATTTTCCTATAACTTTGGAATAGCATTAAGTAATAAAATAGCATTAGATCATTGCTCACTGAATGTGGTAGGAAGTCAAAGATCTCAAGTACAGACATAAATCTTCACATCTTTAAAAACAGAAAACCATAAATTTTCCAATAACTGGGGATGATTAAAAATTAGTTTTTATTCTTATTCCAAAAATAATGAAGTTAATCAAAGTATCAGACATGTTTCAAATTGTCTTATAAGGAAAATGCATAAAACTCAACTTGGTAATATTTGTTATATATATACATACATATATATGTATATATGTGAGAGGGAATTATGGACTTTGAGGGATTAGGGAATTTCCTATTTTTTTTTTATACTCTTCAACTTTCCAAATCCATGTAAATAATTAGAAAAAATACAATTTGTGAAAAGGAATAAGTTAGGTTAATGCCTATCTTCCTGCCTTGTTAATTTTCCCCAAAGGGAGTCATCCTTTTAAACACTGTGTGCAGGTCAGAGTACCAGTTTGCAGGTCAAAGGTCTAGAAGTTTTGACTCAAGGTTACAAGGGAAGGACCCACACAACTTATGTTTTTAGATTTCTAGTGCCTCACAAGATGCATAAGATACCTAGAAGAAAAAGGCTCTCTGGACATGTTGGTTGATTGATTGTGTATCTATGCAGTGATCAAATAAGTAGATATGTACACCAGACAGTTCTGGGATGCTAATAATATATGTTTTTATTTCCGAACAGTCTGCTTCTTGACACACTATACATTTCGACATTCAGAAAGAACTTGGTTTCATTTGAACAGAAATAGAAATAGCAACTATCACTGTATTATTCTATTAATTATAAATCAGCCTTTGCTGATTTTTAGGTTGACCAGTGGGTTCTCTGCTTGGCTTTATTTGAACAGGGTGTTACACTGGTCACTGGTGACATGGCATTCACTGAGTTTCTGAAATGCTACATCAAAATTCACAGGCTTTGCCATGACAATCGGTGGTAACTCTGAGATACTGCTCAAAAATAATGGGATTTCTTTGAATATTGAGTAGGCTGCCTATAGAGACACTTGGGAAAATATGTTAGAGCAAATGGATATATCTGTTAGTTAGGAGTGTGGTTAGAAAACAGAATCTCAGAAATTTAGATGTAGAGGTTGCTGTTCCATCTAGACTCTGCAAAACAGAAAGCCCAGGAAACAGGGCAACACGGCTTTTTTTTTTTTGGCTACACATTGCTTCTAATGAGGAAACTGTTCCTTTTTTTGACAAACTATTAAAATGGTGACTGCAGGATCTTATCCTTTCTCAGGGGATTAGGGTTAGGAGCCCATACTTTATTTTTGATTTTTATTATTTTTTAAAGTTTTATTTATCTGTGCATACAGAACTGGGGTACAGGCCAGAGGTGCAGGGGCTGAGAGGATTCACTAGAGACAAAGTGGGGAGCAGAACAGGCAGATTGACTAAGCACACTGCCGAGGGGAGCAGCAGGCAGGTCAGGAAGGGTCCCTGCGCCTTTGGGGTCACCTCCCTGTATGGGCATCGAACTAGTACTGAAGTGGTTGCTGCTAGCTTCTGTAGTGCTGTGCTTTGAACACTGCGCCACCAGGGAGGCCCCAGGAGCATGCACTTTAGAGATGTCATTGTTAATCTGTAGTGAGAGCTCTGAATCGGGGTTGTTTTTGAAGGAGGATTGATGGGAAGGGTAGAAAAACTTCTGGGAACACTTAATTTCTTGATCCAAGTGGTGATTACTTGTAAAAATTTACAAACATGAAACCATATCAAGTAAAACAGTGAAGATTTGTGTGGTACAATATATATGTGAATCATACCTCAATAAAGAAAAATGGCAAAAGTCCTCTGTGGGCCAAATGTCGCTCATCTGTAACCTTTGGCTTACATAATTATTATGATATCCAACCCCACAATAAAAATTTGGGTCCAACCCCACAACAAAAATTTGGGTCCAACACATGGCTTCTAAGAAAGAAATTTTTTTCTTTCTCAAATAATGGTTAATTTAGTAACATAAGCCTCCTGCTGCTGCTCAAACCAAGTGATGGAGCGTTTAGAGATACAGGGGGCCAGGGGGAAAAAAAAAACAAAAACCAGCCACCTTTTCCCCCCATTACTGCTTGGCTCACTTAACCACTAGATGGCGCACCACGCATTCACAAAGTTCGTTCTAAAGCGCCTGTCGGCCAGAACCTATCTTGTGGGTTCCACCACCCACCCCACAGCATCTTTAAATTACACCTCCCTTCTCAGAACTCTGTTAAACGATGAAAGGAAGAGGTTCCAGTGTAAACCTCTTTCTGTGATCCTCAGTATAAATAGATGCCTGCAGCGCACTGCTGAGAGCCAAGCCATTCAGGACCATGCACATTCATTTTGAAAGATGACATTTCTTTATCTTGTCTTGGATTTGAGTTGACTACTGTCATCTACCTACTATGTATAGTCAATGCCACTGGTGAGTGGGTTATGTTTGGCTGAGATTGTCATTTGGGAACTATTAAGGAAAGATCTCAGAATCCCAAAATGGTTTCTTGCATGTCCTAGTGGGGAATACCTGGTGACAAAAAAATTACTCGTGATTTGAAGGTAGGTCGAGGCATGGGAGATAAGAGATGAAGGTAGATCTAGGTGATCTGATTGTGAGTGAGTGACAGTGGGTGTTTATGATGAGACATGGCCCAGGTCCCAGCTTGCAGCCACAAGCCTTGCCTATGTCTCTTCTCTCTATCCCCACCAAAATGCTCGTCTGAGGCTTGGGTTGGATGTTTCTGTAGTAAGTCATGTAAAAACCACAACAAGGGCCCTTCTTGGTGGCGCAACGGGTTAAAGTGCAGCACTGCAAGTGAGCCACAGCCGCTTCAGTACAAATTGGATCCCCAGCCCCGGAGGTGACCCACATGGCGCTGCAGTCTGCTCCTGACCCGCCCACTGTTCCCCTCAGCAGTGTACTTTGTCAGTCGGGGTGTTCTGCTCCGACTCTGGTGAAGCCTCTCACTGCCCCTGCACCTCAGCTCTGTATGCATAAGTAAATAAATAAATAAAAATCTAAAAAAATGGAGATCCATG